TTCATAAGAGTGAGCACTCGGGAATGAGGTTAATATGACAGTCAGGCAAATCTTTATGTAATCTTCTTGTAAAGGGAAGGAAACACAACAACCAGGCTTTGACTTTGATGCCATAGTTTTATGAAGGCTGTAAAAACGCCAGCACTAGGGACTGTTCTGCRACTGAAGGAAGGCACTGCCCGCTCTGCTTAGCAACTGGAACGTGTTATCCTGCCCGGAGCGCCTGGCTTTGAGCATGAAGGCACGTTTGGGGCACGGAGCAAGAAAATGAGTCTGCCTGGTCACCTGCTCTCTTCTCCCTTGATGTTTTTGCTGTTGGCCGGTTTTGGCTGCACTGYGAGGTACAGAAAGGGTTAGAGGTCTTGGCTATGTGACTGTTCCCCTAAGTTTTAGGAAAAGCAGCCGCTCGGACAAGGGGGACAAATCCGAGTGAGCGCTGCCTGCAAAGGAGAGGAACCGACGTGAGCTCCTCATTCCAGCTGTCTTTGGATTCATGTAGGGGTGTCTTGTGGTGTCCCTGTTGCGGATCCCTTTTAATGTGAGAGTAAACATGCACCGCGTGTATTGCAGGGGSGGGTAATGAACAACCGGCACAAAGCTGAACAGAGCAAGGAACAACCTGTTGTTTTAGAAGAGATTACTCTGTAAGAACAAGTCATTTCCAAGTAAGATCTGAGATGGGACGTGTTCTGAGGCTTTATTGGGAGCATTCTGCTGAATTTGACCAAATGAGTGAGGTGTAGAAAAAACGTATGTAAGGCTTTCTCACCTTATATAAACATGTACATATGTATATTTTGGGGATCTCAGTTTGGTAGGCTGAAGAAGTAGGTGGGAGAACAAAATAAAAGGCTGATGTRGTAGGGAAATCAAAGATTCCTTCTTCAGTTTCTTCTTCCCTGCCATGTGTTTGCAAAGATACCTTGTCTGAAAACATTGTCCTTATAGATGCGAACCTGTTTTCATGCACCTGATGGGCATAGCTGCCTCTGTGGACCTGAATGACCGTTCCAAGACCTTATGGAAATAGTTAACGTGCTGCTTGTGTTGCTTTATTGCCCACATTCCCTCTCCTATGGACAAGAACTCCATCCCCCTCCCYGTGCTTTGGTTCCTGGAACAGCACATTATGGTTGAGCCCCTTGGGGAATGGAAATGACATTGTATTTCTTGTTGTAGTTCTTGTATTTCTCTGGAAAAGATACTGTTGCTACAGGTAGAAGCTACTCGCCCAATGGGCAGCAATTTTACACCTCTGGCCGCAAGTTCCTAGTGCAACAGAAAATGATCTTAAAAGGCAYTTTCCTGCCTGCTCTTCTTTCTCTGGACCAGATTACCACACTGTTGGACAAGGTGCTGTTGCTGATGCTAACATGAATTACARTTGCTTCTCCTACACTTCTCACTTAATGGAATCACTCCCCAACCTGGCTCTGCAGGAATGTTCCAGCTGGAGACCTGCCACTGAGTGCAGCTCGGTGGTATCTGCGAGCAGGTCCTGAGYGGCTGCAGGAGCTCGGGTGAGAGCTGCTTCCTTTGGCTCCGCAACTGCCCGGATTCACCGGTTTGTGCCCTCATTTGCTCCGAGGGATTCACAAGTGGTGCGGGTTGGATGGTCCCTTGCCCTTCCGTGTGGAGGGATGATGTAAGGTGAGCCAGCTTGCCTTTCACATCCATGGCTTTCACATCCTTCCGCACTCCTTGGACAACACAAAGAGTTGTTTAAAAATAAACCTTTAGTGCCCGCCCTCGGCTTTATTGCCGGGGTGGGGATCGCAGGTGGGTGCGGTGAAAGGGACCTGCGTAAAGGGCTCGTGTGGCTGCGGCACCACCCTGCGGGCCCCGTGCCCGAGGGTGACACGCAGCCATGGCGGGAGGAGCCCGTGTCCGCTGCCCACCCCAAACCAGTGCCGCGCGGCAACGACGACAAAAAACAAGCCCGGCACACGTAATGTGAAAGTATCCTTGGAGCTGGGCATGGCAGGGTTCTTGCCCGTCCTAACTGTGACGTAGGACAGGTAAAGAAGCTCTAGCAGTGACCAAAGTTCATGCTTTTTGTGAACACTTGTGAAAGCAAGTCAAATTACTTCAGTTTTGAAGGTAGAAGAAGTTACTCTGTATGAAATGTCGTGTCCTGTACCTTACTATAAAAGTTTGAGCCTACATTCCACTTCTCTAGAAACGTGTGACAGTAGTTTGAACCTTCTCTCTTTGAAGGTCTCTCCTCTGTGGTGGGACACTTGCTTTGAAGCAGCTCCTCTGGAAGGAGCGTCGCTTGCTCCGGATCACCCTGGCTTGCCTGGTTTGTAGCCTCTTTCTCTCATCACGTTGTTTACTATTCAGACGGACTGAATTTTGTCAACATAATATCTTTTTTCTGGATCCGAAAGCTCTTAAGACCAAGCTGACCCCACTGAGCCTCATCCTTTTACAAAATGACAGTATTTATGATGAGCTTATCTTTTAGATGCAAAGTATGTGGTAGGTTGAAGTTTTGCTGTCTTCAATACCTTGCTGCAGAGTTGTTCACTGACAGTTATTGATGACTGGTGACTCATGGTACCGCTGGGACTGGTTGGGCCAGTTTTTTTAAATTCCAAGTTTCTGTCTTTGGCTCCGACTCTTAGGCTTCCTTGCAAAGACGTGATCAAGGCTTCGAAAACACTTAGTTTCCAGACAGTGTTTCTGATTAGAGAACGTACAGTGGAAAGGAGCACCTGCACTAACCTGTGTATTTATGAGGATCTTTCTGCTTGGACATGGTTGTTTTGGCCTTTCACAAGCAAAAGTGCTGACCATTGCAGAGAGTACAGAAAGGGGCAGGTTCTCAAGCTGCTTTCTTGCACAGAGTCCTCCTAGCTGAACCAGAGCTTCTGATAAACTTGGGATTTTCATGTTGGCTAATCTCAAAAGACTGTAGGTTAGTTCACAGTTGTAGCAGAGTATTGTGGSTTCCTGCCTAGTAAGGTTAGTACGGGGCCTATCCCAGTGTGCTGGTGCATTGTAACCCCGACTTGTCAAGTGGAGCTGTTGCCAGTTGAGACCTGGAGTTCAGAGGAACGGTGCCTTATGTTACCTGTCTCGAATGTGGATTAAAAAGCAAGTTAGGCCGATGTTCCCAGTCTGTCTCCCCTTTTGAGAGAGGAGCGTGAAGACTGAGACGATGTGGAGTAGCTCCAAATGTGGTGCAGCAGTTTGAAAGGACACAGAGCTTGGAGCAGTTTCCATGTGCTCGTACTCCCTCTTGAGTGAAAAGAAAGAAAGTTTATTTAGGCTCCGATGGTCAAAGTGCAGTCTTGCTTGTGCTTAGTCTTCTTTTTTAAKTTTCCACAAGAGTTTTTAGCCCTAGTTAGCGCAGTTTCTCCGCTCCATGTCAGGAATTAGTGTACCTGCTTGCTTGTGCGTGGGTCACTCCGATAACTTTCTGGGAAAACCAATTTGAGCCACTTAATTTTCAATTGCATTTCCCAAATTCCTTGACAGCCTCRTGAATGGTGTTCCTGACAGGATCCAGAGAAAGCTCTTCCCATAGGCAGCTTCCTATGCCCCGAAAGGTCTGGCTTAAGCACTAACGAAGCTTGAGTTGACCTGCTTTTACACTGTCTCAGCTGCTGACAAAACTTAATGACAAACTTTGCCACGAAGTCTAAAGATTTGTTGTGCCTCACGTTCAGATGGTTTGAACTGCACACAGTGGATGATTTGTTATACTCGAGCATGTAATTATGGTATGAGGTTGTCACGTAAGGACATGCTGGGCAAAGGCAATGGTCTCCTGTTGCCACACTGCGTTGTTTGATACTTCTATATATGCTTCTATATATAGCTGAACAATGTTGTCATCTGAATGTGGGGTTGGTGAGCTTTCTAATTACCAGCRTTTAAGTAGCGTTTGGTTTTTAATTGCTAATACAAGCCTCTCTTGTGTTTTGCAGCCTCTAATGTGGAAATCGTTGTACTTTTTGGATCTGAATGCTTGTTTTAGCAGTAAACCTTAGGAAGGTGGCATTTCCTTGCATATCTATATGGTGTCTTTCCCATATTTAAAGAACTGTGCTAACTATTTATAGACCAACATGTTCTGACTTTAATACATACAGGAATATATSCAGTGGAGTAGGTAAGGAATGAAAGGAAGCAATAGAGAGAAAATCGTTGGAACTCTGCTGAAATAATAATAGGATTATTTTTTCCATTTTTTTCCATTATTTTTCCCACATGTGCGCACACACACATTAGGTTGTTTGTGCATTAACTATCCTAGAGCCCTTTGATGTAGGGGAGGAGCAGAGCTTTGCCTCTGGGCAAGCAGGACGGAGACGTCTGTTCCAAGTGCTCAAACTCACAGCCTTTGCAGGCTGAAAGGGCAAGCTGAATCTTTCCACTCTGCCTGAACTAGATTATCCTTTCGGTTTGCTGATTGACTCCCCGAAACCGGATTATTTTTAGGATTTAAATGACCCATTTGCCTGATTTTCTCTCTGCAGAAAAAGTACAGTAACCGAGCCTTGTTGCTGTTTTGGTCGTCCCTTTGTGCCTGCTATTTAAACTGGAAATTCCCTCAAATGTCTGTTTTCCTTYCCCTGCAGCTGTCATCTCTCTCATGTTTGCTTGTATGATGTTGACTCACTGTGGTTCTCTTCTTCGAACGTTGCTTAGTAAAAACTCACAAGAATTCTTGACAAAATCTGTGCCTCGCAAGGCAAACRTAAAGACCAAAATGTAAAGCTCTTCCCCTCGTCACTGCGGGATGCTGCACAGCCACCCAGCTCCTTGCCAAGCAGCCAAGGCTCTCCTTGCTCACCCCGCAAAAAGGATAACCATTCGTGGAGTGGTTCCTGGCAAAATAAAAAAGCAGGAAATAGCAGAACTGGAGTAACAGTCCTTAGATATGTGGGGATTTAACTTGAATCTATTTGAGAGAATCCATGGTGGGGGGGGAGGCGGAAAGAAAGGGGAAAAAAAAAACCCAAAGAACTAACAGAGTGGTATTTTTCTTCCAGATTTTCTCATTTTACACCTGTGAAGTTTCTACAACCCCAAAATGGCAACAAATAAGCCAAAAGGACAAAATTCGTTGGCTTTACACAAAGTCATCATGGTGGGAAGCGGTGGTGTGGGCAAATCTGCTTTAACGCTGCAGTTTATGTATGATGAGGTAAGCATTTGTACTAGAAGCGCTCTCATGAGATGCCTGCTGCATTGTGTTATTTAAGCATTTGTTTTCTGAACAGTGACTTTAATGAACAGTTATTTTCTGAAGAGTCTAAATGTATATGGCATGGTGTGAAAGTTAGCTATTAAATTGAACCAAAGGCGTTTTTTAAGTTGTTGAAGTTTGTCCTCTGAAGACGTTTGTGAAGGTCCAATTTGGCATTTTTCGAATTTCTAAGCAATTAGCAGAGATTTATAGAAATTGCTCAGTCATATTATCAGTGTATTTTGCCATTGTTTGCTGGAGCTGTTGGAATTTATTTAGGTACGGTAGCTCAAAGCCTTTTCTCTTAGATAAGTTGCATATTCCTGAAATGATGCTGAATTTTTGTCACTTGAGCAGAAAGAAGTCTCTTTTCCCACCCCTGCTCATTTTCATTTTGCCAATTTTTCACCTTTTTTTCTTTTAAATAAAAGATACAAATTATCACTGTCCTTTTAACAATATTGTTCACATATCATATATTCTCTATATAATATAATATGTTCTGTTATTATACACACATGGATCAGGAGTGGGAGTTAGCATAGTGGGACCCAGCCAGGTTTCATGTTTGACCAGCAGCAGAGGCTCAGTTCGTGCACCAGCCATTGACGGTTTGCAGTTGCCCAAGTAACTTGCAAGGTTTGCTTGAATGGCTGGCAAAAGCAAAAACCCATAAACTGTTTGGGCTGTGGAGAGTCTGCCTTGATTACAGAAATATGCATTTTGTATCTCTTAGCTTAAATATACCCAGTTATTTACTGTAATCATTTAAGATGTTGTTATATCCTTATATGTAGACGATAGTGTTTGCATCTGTATTTCTCTTCTTAATTGTGGTGTGCAGGCATGTTTTTACACAATAAAGGTTTTGTTTCTAGTTTGTAGAAGATTACGAGCCCACCAAAGCAGACAGCTACAGGAAAAAAGTAGTTCTGGATGGGGAAGAAGTACAAATTGATATATTGGACACAGCAGGGCAGGAGGACTATGCTGCAATTAGAGATAACTACTTCCGAAGTGGAGAAGGTTTTCTTTGTGTCTTCTCTATTACAGAGCTGGAGTCCTTTGCAGCTACCGCAGACTTTAGGTAAGTTACAAAGAGCAAAGTAGTGTTTTGAATTATAGTGGAGCAAAAAGGTCGCTTGTTTGTTTGCTTTTGAATATCCTGTGGTATTAGACAACAAAGTAGAGGGGCAGAAAGTTTTGAACGGCTTCCTCACCATGCTCTCTGTGTAGCAGTTTGGGTGTCRTTGCTGTGTTTGTAGCCACCAAAAAGGTTCTTGCCATGGAGCAGATACTTCGCAGCCTTGGGTGGATCAGCTTGCTTGGCACTTCTGCTGCAGAGGAGGGAGCAGTGTTTGCGAGGAGGCATGGTGCTACCCAAAGTACAACACCTAATAAAAAGTGCTTATAGACTGTAAGCTACTTTTCACTTCATGTCAAGGACTGTGTTGTATTTCTTTAACCTGTGAAATAGCACCTGGAGCAAATAAGGCAGTTTTAGCATGTCCAGCTGTTTTTGCTAGGATACTTAAGAGCAATGAAGATGATGTAAGCATATTCCACATAGAAATGAGGCAGAAGAGCCACAGCTGGTGATGTCTGTCTGCTGGTGATGCCTGTCTGCAAAGGCTTTGGCTGTGATGAGTATGAGCTTCGGCTTCTGGGAGCCTCTGAAAGTTATAATATAAGCACACAGGCCTTTCCACCTCTTAAAAATGATTTTTATGGGTAACAGAGATAAGTAACATCTTGGAGTATTCTGCAGTGGCTGTGCGTTTCATGTAAAGGCCTGCTTTAAATCTGTTCTTTCAGCTTTGCTTGGGTGTGAATTCTTTTTCTCTGATCTAAATTGGGGATTTAGAAGACAGAAATGGATTCTGTGCAGTGTTAACTCTTCCCATCAAAATCTGAGAGGACTTAACTTATTAAGTTAAGAGTAAAAACAATTCGGGATTTTTTTGTTTGTTTTGTTTTTACTGTAGTGAAGATTTAACAAAGTAGGGTTTCTTTGTTGTTTTTTTTTAACCTGCTTTTGATCTTTGCAGCAAATTACAACCTTTACAGTGTGCTAGGAGGCAGTATAAAACACGCACCAGTAAATTACAGGGGTTGGCTTTTATCTTTTGATCAAAATTAATTCAAAACACTTCTCACTATGAAAAAGAAAATCATGTACTAAAGAAACCCAAAAACAGCTTGCCCTTTCAAAGTATGACAAAAAAGGAAGAAGATGGCCTTTAAAATAAAGAGAAAAATACAAAAAGAAATGAGGCGTGTTCCACTGAAACAGGAAGCTTCTTAGTTAGTTAATTAGCACCACCTATCAGAGTATTTTTAATATGACCCCTAAGGGAGGAGGTCTGGAGGGAAGTGGGGTTTTTGCCCATGTGGTGTTTTTTATATGTCTGTCTGTATGCACATAAATATATATGTGCATTCAGACATGTATGTATATATTAGAGAGAGGGCTTGAGTGGTTTGCTGGCTTATACCAAATACTTGAGTCTTCTCTGTCCTAGAGCACTAGTTAATATAACTGCTATAGGGTGCAAAATGACCTAKGCAAGTCCATTTAAAATCCTGTTAACACTTCAAAGCATATGATCCTCTAAAAGATAAATAATAATTACTGTTATTATTATAATAAAGACCTGCTTTTTAAGGAAAAGTGAACCTTGACAGTATGTGTGTTAAAGCAGCAAAGGTGGAAGGAAAAAATCTGTTTGCTGAAGAGATTAAAGTTTTCCACAATCCAAATCTGAAAATGCCTTTCAAGCTGCCTTTGAAACATGGGAAGCTTTAAGGCTACAGTGTTACTCAGAGGAAGGACCCTGTTCTTTTTACTCTCTGTAAAAGCAAGCTCTGTCTCTTTAAAGTACCCTTAAAATACCACTGCTGCTGTTGAGCAACGTGAGGGAATATTACTTAGGATAYAGTTCTGCGAACAAATGACAGAAAAAAATGTGGACATTTGATCCATGGAATTCTGCTCTGCTGGAATGGCAAAACTCCAGCAGGAGACTTGTTTACCACTTTTCAGAGTCCTCTGAGATGCCAATGGTCTTATTAAGTGATTTTGTTAATAGAAAGCAGACCTGCAGCGACTGAGCTCTTGAATATTTGTAAGGCAGTTTGTCAAAGTGAGCTCTTGCTCTTAGTAGGAATGGCTCGGCTGTAATGCATTTTTTAAAAATATATATATAGGCACCTATAAATAGGCACCTAGCACATCTTGAATTAGATATTTAGCATATAGGTCTTCTGAAAAGGATCGGAGTAGAATTTTGTGACCTGGATTGCTTTTATCTCTGTAAGTGGGTAAATGGTTTGGCACCACCTGAGCAAAAGCAGCTAATCTGAAGCAGAAGTCTGATTTGCAGAGATGCCCTGGTGGTGCCCAGACGTCTCACCTCGTCTCCATTCCTAGTCTGTTRACTCCTTAAACTACTCTTTGGATAGCTGAAGACAGTATTAAAACATTTGCTCTCGCTTCTGGGAAGATGATGCTGTAATCATGCCTGAGGTGACTGTGGTGCTTCAAACACRTATTTGTTCATTWAAAAAAAAAAAAAAATCAGTAACTTATGAGTTGACTGCAGTTTCTCTGCTCTGTGAGTGCAGTTTCTCAAAATCACAGAAAGGTTGAGGTTGGAAGGGACCACCAGAGATCTAGTGCGACCCCCTGCTCCAGCAGGGTCACCTAGAGCATGGGACACAGGGATGGCTTGCTGAAAGATTTTAAAACAGCAGGAGCTCTTGCTGCACTCCTCTCTACATCAAAGCTAGTTAGAAAGATATTAATCAACTCTTTTCAGGAAGGAGTATGATTTTCTGCGCTTAAGTTGAACTTTTAGAAGTTTTTCTGTCAGGAAGGCTTAAATTTCACCACTGACTTCGCACCATTTCCTGGGACTAAGTAGAGAATATCCCTCATCTGGAAGGTGTGGGGAGGAAGTTCCTCTTATTGCTTTGAGTATATTTATAATTACATTAAAACCTTTTGTTTAATCTTAGACGTTTTGTAGCAAGGCAGTTGTAGTACTCAGCTTTATTTACAGCTTTATACCCTTCATCTTAGCAGTTCAGCAATCAGTGGAAGGATCTGTCCTTCAAAAATTGATGTATGTGCAACTTGCACCCTTACATGGACATATAACTAAACCAGTTTCTCTGCAGAGTCTTGAATATAACTGACTTTTGAAAGAATCCTGAAAGGAAGAGATTTTTCTCTTGGTCTGATCTATTAGATTGCTACTTAAGTAGGTAATTTTTGTAATTTTTGTGAGTTAACAAATAGCTTATGTGTTTTATTATGGAGGGCTGGGCATAATGAATTTAAAAATCACCATAAACACTGCTGCACTTCTTTCAGAGTAAAAAGTTGTCTGGTTAGGTCAACAATTGCAATTACAAGTAATATTGTAAAGACAAAGGAAAATAATCTCAAATTCCACCTTTATTAGAAAGATGACTTTAAATTGTCACCTTAAGCAATCTTGTTCTGCTGTTTTAATCTTACTGAGTCATTCCTTCCTTCCTGGAAGACTCGTTGTCTGTCTTGGTCTTCATTCTGTGTAGTGTCATGTGAGGTTTGAGACTTCACTTATGTAAGCTTTATAAAAGGAATAAATGGGTTTTCACTGCAAGATGGAAGAGTGTTTATTCTGATGAGTTCTTAGTGTTCTAAGAATAGTACTCCATGCATTGCTTAATTTTTTTTTTCTTCTTCCTTTCTTTTTTTTCTCTCCAGGGAGCAGATTTTAAGAGTAAAAGAAGATGAGAATGTCCCTTTTTTGCTAGTTGGTAACAAATCAGATCTGGAAGATAAAAGGCAAGTTTCTGTAGAAGAAGCAAAAAACAGAGCTGATCAGTGGAATGTTAACTATGTGGAAACTTCTGCAAAAACACGAGCTAATGTTGACAAGGTAATAACTGGCCTCCTCTCCATACAAAGAATCCATCCATCAGCTTGTACTTCATACCCCTCCTCCGTGGAGTCATACTTTGTATGTTCTAGTTATTTTGGCRTTGTTTGTGAAATTCAAATGGAGTGCTCTTCTCCCTTAGCTTGWGACGAGCATATGGCTAGGTCATTTTGTGTAGAACAGTGAAAATATTAGGTATAACAGGTCCAACCCACCCTAAATTACAGGGAGTAGGTTATTAGGCAAGGCCTCACRTGTCATTAAAAACCTCTTGAGGCAGCTATTTTTGCCTAGACCTCTTGTTGTGTTTTCTCTAACTAGAAGGCAAGCTGTTTCTGAACAGCTCTGAGTACGAGCTGCTTCTCGGCCAGAATAAAACCAAATTAGTATGTGGGGTGATGCTGCAGATACCGGGTTCTGTCTTAACTCAGCGASGAATGATTGAACCTTGTTAAGCTTTCAGCAACCTGGAAAAGAGTATCATGAGTTTTAAGGGATTGAGAAAACATGGTTCAGAAGGTAGCAAGATAGACATAGATATCTATATCTAGATATCTGTCTATATCCAGATATCAGATGAAGAGCATCTTTGTCTCCAAGAAGATAAATATTAATTAGATGCAGGAATTTCAGTTATAGCTTTTAAAGACTTGTTGGAAAACAAAATTCAGAACCCTCTCTCAGCTGTGTAGATTACAAAGGTAATAGATGGATGGTCAAATAAATATGTAGCTTAACCTGCTAATCTTTCCTCGCAGAGCTATTGGCAGGTTAGGTCACACACTGAACATTYTTCTCATGTGAATCCTTGCATGTGAGCTGTCGGTCGGGACATGAGAGCCATAGTGGGAGGCTGGTTGGTTTGGAATATCTGGCATCTGATGCTTGCCTGCTGACAGTTGCCTTGTGAGAAATGGACTGTTCAAGGGAACAGGAGGAGCTTCGTGCTGCTCTGGAAGGAATATTAGGWCAGCTAAATACAGCACAACTCTACCTCATCGTTGAATTTAGCTCTAATTTTATTATTTTTTTTTAATAGTATGTCTTAAAGTTTTGGTACATAAACTGTAGTTAGCATTCATCTATTACAGTCATTTAGAACCCCCCAGCTCTTCAAAATTGACTACACTATCCTATATCACCTGGGAAAACAACATATTTTCAAAGCACTATAGTTTCAACAAGTTTTGTGTACATGTAGCRGACTATTGCAGCACTCTGATCAAATTTATCTTTCAGTTTGGTCTGGTTCCAAGTTTCCCTTTGCTGCTGGTGATTTTGTGGATCCAGATCACAAGGTGATTAGCATGTACTGTATAGGGTCAAAGTTTGACAGGCCATAAATGAGCTATTGTTGGCCATAGTAAATACCAGGTGTTCTTATTTGCATGCTTTCTTGAAGCATCTGAAATTATGGGGCTTGTTACATAAATTGGAGTTACTCTTCTCTAAGAAATCCGACTTCTCTGAATTTCAAAATAGTGGCTTGCTCACTTGGGGGAAACACAGTTGACCTCTGCTTCATTTGATAAAGGTGAGACGAGCTGAGCATCTTGTCCGTAAGTTAAGTATCCCAGGTAGCCTAGTATCAGGGCTTAAGCAAGTTGGCAGAGGAATCCAACCATCATCACAGATTTAAGTACAATTAAGAAACTTAATCCACATTTAGAAATCTAAAGGCAGTCTTATTTCTTGAAGGAAATGTTCAGTTAAATTGATTTTTCTTCAGCCACTGTAATGAATGTTGATGCTTGTGTTGCAATCAGTATGAGATTGGTGTCACTGAGGGAAAAAAAAAAAAAACCCACTCTGTTGTCTATGTAGAAAAGCAGTTTTTCAGCCTCTCTGCACTGCTTGTGTTTCAGTGTAAATCTAGAGAACATCTTCCTGAGAGTGAAGTCTCAGAACGGCTGTACTGATTTGCTCAGGGAGGTGATAAAGCTGAAATGCTTGTCAGTTCTTCCCCCCTACAAGTCAAGTCATGATCTTTTCTAATGAATAAAGTAACTGCATGCAGGCCAATCCAAAAGCCTCAATAGATAATAGGATYTCACTTATCTAAGTCATTGATCTGTTGCAGGCTTCTGTTTCCTGCTGAACCTCTTGACAATGAAACGAAGTTCAGAATTGCTTGGGGACTGTAATGTGRCAGTGGATGCTACTTAGTCTAAAAAGACATTAATGTAACTAGGTGCTTGGTAACTTTGGTACAGAGAAAATGCCACCATCTCCTTGTTCCTTTGTGTATGGACCTGCATCATGGGACTGTGGTACCTACCACTGCTCTGGTCATAAGCTTCTAGAATTGGAAGTTACATTTTTTCACCCTATACAGTTAAACACTGCAAGTACACGAAATATAAACTTATTTCCTRGAGTGCCCCCAGTGACATTTAAATATATAAGAGGACATTTAAATATATAAGGAAAAAGGGCAGTGATACAACTCTTCTGATGGAAGCTGTGTGCAAAATTGTGTCAGGATACAATTCCAGGCTTCATAAGCAACTATCAGGAGACTGGGAAACTTGATGGTACCATTGAATAAATGCTCCTGTATCATACATGCTACATGCTTGGCCTGCAAAACCAGTGAGAGACTGGTTGGATTAATGTTCTTTTGTTCAAATTTCCTCTGTATAAGCAACTTTATCTTAACCAGGTGAAATGAGTATCATGAGTGATAATTTAACTTATGTCTCTGAGTGTTTTGTCATTTATGGTCTTGTGTCTTTTTTTTTTTCTCTTCCCCCTAAGGTATTTTTTGACTTAATGAGAGAAATTAGAGCCAGAAAAATGGAAGACAGCAAAGAGAAGAATGGGAAGAAGAAAAGAAAAAGCCTAGCTAAGCGAATCAGAGAAAGATGTTGCATTTTATAATCAAAACCCTCAATTCCTTTCCTGCCCTGACCATACTAATAAAAACCATAATTTATAAGCATGCCATTGAAGGCGCAAGTGACTGAAATTACTCTAACATGTTGGAAATTGTAATGTACCACTAAAAGCATGAATTGGATCTGCACTGAAAGTCAAATTCACTGAAAAAAAAATGATGTGGCTTCAAGAGAAGCAAAGTTCAGTCCATTTCATAATTGCCTACCTTATCACATTTCTTCTGAATGTAGTTTTTCATAGGCAGTCTTTTCTTTAATAGAGGGGGGAAGTATTTCTTTGTGGATCTTGTAAAGCATACTTTTTTATCATTGATAATTGTCGATTCATCCTGTCTTCTGCTGCCTTGAAAATTCCAGTTGTGACCACGATACCCAACGAAGCCGAATGCCGCCGTTGAGCCATGGAGTTAGGCAGATTGGAAAAGAATAATGTCTATGCGAGAAGTTACCTTGGGAGCAATTATATGTGGTTCTGCGTTATCTGATTAACCTAGAAGAGTGAAGTAATCTTTTGCATTGGAACATTTGAATATGCCTTAATTTTAAAACCTAAACATAGCAGGTTGCGTAGTCAAGGGTGTATTTTCAACGTGTTGCATGGAGACTGTCCCTGTACATCAGTATGAGGCTGTCCTCTCGCTGGAGTGCAGGTCTGGGAATGATTTTGCTCACTAGCTGTCTGCTAGCAGTGTCTGTTCTTTAAATGTGTGCCATACTCGGGTTTTGTGAATGCTACAGAGCATCATCTGTCTGCTGTATCTTAGTAAACAATATGGTATCTTAAAGCTAAAAGGTCAGAATACGTGTAAGATTGATGCATATAAGTCATAAGCATACGGCACAGGTAAGCCTGGAAATGGATGTTTAACCCTTACTGTGCTGGTACCTTGAAACTTCCCTTTCACGAGTAGTTTTTGTCTAGGTGTCCCGTGGGTTTTAACTCCCTGGGTTTGGGTGGAGTGGAGCGGATTCCGTAGCGCTAACGTGTTTGGAGTTCCRATGTTGTCTGGGAAATTCTGGTGTCATCAGCAGATTCCTTTGGCCTTCCTAACCCTCGCCTATGGGAAGCACGGTGTGTTATGCTGAAGCCCTTTGCAGGTTTTGTACTGTTTAGTCTAGTTCATGTTGATTTAAAACGGGAACATTGTAGCTACTTTTTTTCTAGTTAATGTTGATATTAAACAATCAAATACGCTTTGCAATACAGAAACGTTTACCACGTGCATCCAAAATCCCCAAACAAATCGTGCTGCCTCATTTGCTTCAGGACAGCAAGGATCCTAGCACACGGTTAGCGTGCTGCATCTCGCCCAAAAATACACCGGGATGTTTGAGGGTTTTGGACTTCTCTGGGGTAAGACAGACTAGATAATTCCACAAATTGTTAGACTTTTTATACATGAGTAAGCCTAAAACTGACAGTTTGAAATGTGCTCAAGCAAACTAGGTAACAAATATTAAACTTTCAAGCTAACAGACGTTTTAGGGACTCAACTCTTAGAAGTTCTATTTGTCATGTTAAATATTTATCAATAGGAATTTTGTATGTGCATTTAGTAGACTGCCAAGTGCAGGATTGAAGTTACCCATGTAACTATGGCAAATAAGCCAGTCTTCATCTTACTGTGTACTCATTTTGGTCTGTTTAGCCAGGGAGTCTAACCACTAATGTTGTGACTTTGCTTTGGAACCTGTATACTGGGAACTGAGGTGTTATGAAGCCACCAGACACAGGAAACTGGTCTTGGCTGATGCCTAACCTGTCCTTTTATTTGCTATTTGAGCCATTGAAAGATGAATAAACTTCCATTTTTTTCTAAAAAAAATTATAAAACTTGTGCAGTGTTAATTGTTAACTATATTGCTGGTATTAGAACTGACAATATGTGTCATGGACTAAAAAAAAAAAAAAATCCAAATATTCCAGAATCTTTTTGTGTATATGGTGTATACAGTACGGAGCTGTGGATTTAACTTGTCTTGGAGTTTGTGCCTCACACTCAGAGGCCAATCTGCTCACAGTGCTCCTGTGCCTGCAAACACTCCCGTTTCTCCTGCAGAGCTGTCACGGGAATTTCCTCGTATTGGCAGGATCACAGCGCTCCATGGGATTTCACTCCCAGTTCGTGTTTTTGCCAGTAGTGTTCTTGCCACTGTTTGTGAAGTACAGTGTTGTGCAAGACGTTGGACCYCAAAGAGACACCACAGTTTGTGACAAGTTGTGAAGTTCAGTCTTATGCTATGTATGAAACTAAGATTGAACTCCAGACTCTTTTTGTCTTCTTCCCTGGAGCTTTTTRCCCACAGCTTTAACAACTCAAATCTACTTTTTGAACAAAGCTACTGAAGAACCCATGGTCTTACCTGGTGGTTCCTGGAGCCTCCTGATGCACATAATTTTTAAAAGCAGGGGTGGTGTTCGGCATATTCCKTGGGCTGTGCTGAAATGGTCTCGTGTGCAGGAAGTGCTCTCCCCTCAGACACACATTGCTGGAGCAGCAGGCACAACTCACACACTGGCAATTCCTGGGACAATCACAGGGCAGGAAAACGCACCCCACATCTCAGCCTTATGTCCATTATATTCATCTTTAGAAGCCAAATATTGTTAGCGTGTGAAATAAGCTGGCTGCAAATCCTGGATTCCTCCTTGGACCGGGAATCCTCACGGGGAGCTTTGCTGCTGGGGTGGGAGAGAGGGTGGATGGTCCCCATGTAGTGACAGTCTGGTGCAGAGCAGGAGATGCCCAGCGGGCCTCAGTGTGATTCTTCACTGATACAGTCTGGGCACAGCTGARGTGCTGAGCCTTCAACAAGGGAGAATGGACAAGGGGGGACGTTTTGTCATCACTAATGTTGGACACCACATCACTAAGTACCCTTAAAGGACTCTCTGAYGCTGATTTCATAAATCCACACAAGTGACTGAAATTCCAAGAATCAGATTTTTGACTGGATATGAAATCTCTCTGCCTAAAAGAAGCAATGCGGTTGAATTTTGTTTTTCCAGTCAATTTAATGAAACCCAAACTGCTGTCGCTGGGGTGTGATGGTTACTTTGGGAGTGGGAATTGTGCGGGAATGTGGTTTGACTTGAGGACTTCACATGACTCTTAAAACTCAGGTAAGAATTCTGGGGCAAATAAAGCAGCTTTTCAGTCTTAGGGCTGCTTCRATGCCTGGGTGTGCTTTTCAGTGACCACTCATGGAAGAAACTTCTAGCTCTCCAGGAGGGTTTTTGTGGGAGCTCCAGTTTGTTGCTAATGCTGAATGGAGAAGAGGGAGGTGCCAGTGCTGCTTGTCCTGGGATGCAAGTTAATCTTGGATCTGGTTGCCTTAACCGGGCTGCAGTATTTTGGTCTGAAGCTTCTTTGGCAAAATGCTGCAATGCGCATCACTTGAGAGCCTCGGCAGACTCCTCATTTTCAAGGGGATCCTGGATGCATCTGATCACCGGCACAACCCTATTTTGGGGAAATATTCAGAACATGCAGTTTGGATTTGTGGGTGCTGGGGTCTGCCCATCCCCTCCGCCTCCCCTCCACCTCCTTCCCCCTCTTTTCTTCCATGTAGCATGGGAAAAGTTCAAAGTTTAGGTTGTGGAAAAGTTTCCTTCCTCCAGCCTCTTGATCAATACTGCACTCACCAGTGTTTAGCCCTAGCAGGGTATTACTGCTTGCAACCTGAAACTACGTGCTGAGGGTAAGCCAGCTCTGGAGTGTGCTTAAAATGCCCCAATACTGGAAAGTACTTCATCCCTCTCTTCTTYCCTTCGTACTTAGTTAAACAGAGGCAAGGAAGAGGATACATGCCCAATAATGCTCTCCTGAAGTTATTGCCACAGGCAACCACATTGGAAATTTTCTTGAACATAAACAGGCCTGGAGCGGAGAGCCGGTGACAGTAATTGCTTGGGTCATTTCTGTATGTCTCATGCTGGAAACTGTAGTTTCAGAAACCTCATTTCCTAAGCGGTTTRGTACAAGTGGCATGACTTAATTTTCTTTGATCCCTGATACTTTAAGAAAAACTTTGTAATTTCTCATAATAATCCGATAACACTCATTTTTATAAGTATACCCTGAGGATAATGACCTATCTTAACATTTACGAATAGAGAGGGAAACAGAACTGAGACGGGGGAACCCAAGGGCCTGCCAGAGGTGGGAGCAAAGTCTGCTGCTCCAGCAAGGTGCTGATGCTGTGTGTGCCGAGGACTGTGTGCCACAAATACTGCAGCTTCGGGATACAGAATCACAGACAGGGTGATCATCCAGTCTAGGGATCATCCAGTCCAACCCCCCTGCTCCTGCAGGGACACCTGGAACTTATACCGAAAACGCTTACCTTAATGTCCTGAGATCCTTATGKGTGACATGTCTGCGCGTCCAAGGAGAGATGATATGGAGGAGGTCATGCATATAGCRTGCATATAGGAGGCAGCCTTAATCTCAGAAACCTGATCTTGGCTACTGAACCRTGCCACTACTGAGCTCATGCTTAAAAAAGCAGAGCTCTGAGAAGACAGTTTCAAGACCTTGATTTTTTTTGTTATGACACATCTATTGTCAACACCACGGAAAAAAAATGAAACAGCACAGGATGCCTGATTTTTTTTCAAAGCACTGTCATTAATGGTATATTTCCTTCATGCTATTCTTTTGGGTTTGRTTTTCTTTTTGCACTAGCATGGTGGTTCACATGAGAGTTTTGCATCCCGGCACAGTGTTTGTTTGCAGGAAGGGAATGCGCCGTCTTCCCTGGCCRCAGCTACAGCTGCTCCCCACAACTGCAGGGGAATCCCAGCAGGCACAGCCACCTGCTGGCCGTAGCATCCCTGAGCTGCCCCGGCTATCCAGGCCGGAATACTCAGTTAAACAAACTGGGTAGTGCAGGCCTCCCTCTGCAAAGAACAGCAGTGATCATCCGAGGCTGTTAATGTGAGGGCCATGGTGAGTTTAAGGGCCATCAAGACACGAGCTGTGTGTGTGCAGCTCTGCGCTCAGCCTGGGAGGACCCTGGGGACCCATCTGCTTTCTTTTGGGAGCCCATCATTGTGTGGCTTTGGGGATAAAACCCTTGGCCTCCTTCTGTGAGTCACTTTCACCAGCACAGAAGTCTTTACCTCTTTGGGATTCAAAGCAGATTACATGCACTGAAGCGTCCTTCATGTGCAGATCAATCGTAATGGTGGTGCCTGCCCCATTTACCACTGAAAGCCAAAGTTGAATCACAAAACAGCTACAGAGGACAGTATTTGAAGAAGAAACACCTTTTCATCCTAAATATCTCCTTTGCTCCCAGCGCAGGTTTCGGGAAGGCCAGAACCTTTTGTCAGCTCCTGCGTTCCCCGGCCATCCTCGTTCCCCTTCGCAGAGCCTGTTCCGCTTTGGATCATGGGTGGCTCGTACTGGCTACCATTTATTTTACCTTTGCCTTTGTGCACTAACCTTATTTCTACAGAAAACACTCTTAGGTAAGGTGAGCACATCTGTCTTAATCCAGGGGGAATCTGCTTCCCACAGCCAGCTCTTCCTTTCTGTAAGCATTAATGCTATTTTCTCCTCTTACTTCCCTCTAACTGTACATCAAGTAGTCTATCAAACTCCTCACACACGCGCTACTTAGCTCAGATGCCGCAAGGTTGCAGACAAGTTGTAGGGTTAATCTAAGACCCGGCTTGATTCACTCTGTGGGAACAAAGGCAACTGCATTTATTTCAAAAGCTGCTTGGAAAATACATTTTGCAGATCATTTCTGTGTATTCAGGTCAGAAAGCCAGAAGTAATACACAAAATGGCTTTTTAAAAGAGTTCCTCCTCAAGGAGATATTTAACATCCCTCAAGAGCAGTTAGTCGTCGGTAATCAAGAAGTTGGCTCCTAGTTTGCAGCTAGACTTTGCTTATGCTTAAAGCAAGCACTGAATAGAAAGGGATGCAGCAGAGGAAGAATTTTCCCACATCACATCAAAATTCCTTCCTAGCTCTTATCCACTCTAAGCTCTGTCCTTGCTCTGTGCCCAGACTTATTCTCTCCAATTTTAAATAAGGTTCCTCATCTGCTGCACTCCTATCTGGAGGAAACCATTTGGGTTGGGGGTGGAGGGAAATTTTTTGCAAATTCTTGAGAAACAAGTATGTTACACTGCAAGTTGGGGAGAAGGCACATATTAGGATAGGAATTAAAAGATACACCTTTCTTCACTCGCTGAGCTTGGAGGCAATCACATTTTTCTTTCTCCAGATTCATTTTTGTTTGGATTTTTACCATATTTAGGGCAGGGGAGAAAGGAGGGGATGGGGGAACCATCTGCTTGGGAAGCTGCTAATTCCCTGCAGCTGTGGGGGCACAGGGTGTTAGTGGGAGAGTTTGAACCAAGCTTGTTAAGGGATCTCAGCCAGGAGTGATGGGTCACACCAGAAGTTGGTTTGAAATTAGAGGTATCTCTGTGTCCAGGTGAGCAGGGACTGGCAGAAGTCAAGGAGAGAAAAGGGGTATTTTGAGGATAAGGTCAATCTGAGAAAAGCAGTTGTAGGAGCACCTGGGTGAAAGATCAGGGAGCTTCTGCAGTGAGTGAGGAACTAAGATAAGGAGCAGGAACCAAAGCTATGTGCATCAGTGCGGGGGACAAAACCTTGAATGTTTCTTCAACCCAAACYGAGGTGAGACCATCCCCTTTGCCCAAAGGATGGGAGACACCTCTGACGGGACCCATGGGTCTGCTGGCTCTGACCCAGCCTTCAAGGCTTCAGGTGGCACTGGTCTCCAAGCACAAGGCAGCCCAGGGTAAGGCTGCAAACCAGATATACGC